ATACTAAGTGAAATTACTTTTCTGTTTTAGTCTATCCAAAAAATATCTTTAGTTTTCTAGGAAAACATGTTTCTCCTTATCTAAAACTCTATTCCACTTGATTTACTCTCTAACTTGATCTCTACTGATATAATCTCATTATCATAAACAAGATCAGATCCCAAAAAAGATGAATAGATTATTGATAAATAGTTTAATTTATAACAAAGTCATTAGACAAGTTGATGATTTACAAGATAATCTAACTAAATACAAAGAATTACCCCCCCCCATGGATTGAATTATAGTCATTTACACTCCTCCTACTACTACTACTATTACTACTACTACTACTACTACTACTATTACTACTACTACTACTACTACTACTACTACTACTACTACTACTACTACTACTACTACTACCATTACTACTACTATTAACATAGTAAACAACTGTTTGGTCCATTTGATAAACATCCTCGTACCATTCAATTCAATCTTGATAATGTAGTTTATTTAGAAGAAGACGATGATTACAACTTTGATAGGAAGTAGACTTATTCATTTAAATGTTTAAAGCATATTAGATTCTCTATACAATATGAAATGGACTATTAACTGTTATCATCATTCTATTATAATAAGTAACAGCTGAAGAGGAAATTAAGAAAAGACGATGGAAGTGGATAGAACATACATTATGGAAATCAACAAGTAAGCATTAACTTGGAATCTTGAATTGAAAGGGAAAAGTGGAAGACAAAAGAATACACTGTATTGAGAATTGGAAGTAGATATAGAATAGATGAATAGTAACTGTAAAGAACTGGAAAGGATTGTCCAGTAGAGAGTTGGATGGAGAATGATGGTGGATGGCCTATTCTCTTTCAGGAGTGGTAACAAGCGTAAGTAAGTAAATAAGTAACTGAAGGTAAACGGTCATAGATTCAAGGTATTTGCTAATCTGTGGTGTATATATTAATTTATTCATATTATTTTCAGTCTAAATAAATAGGTCGTTTAATCCTTGTCAAAGTCTTTCTCTGTATATCATTCATTGAGTTATTACAAAACATTGAAGTATAAAATATGAGGAAGTTAAATTCTATTTTGACAGGATTTGCTAGAGCTAATCTTGATGTGAAAAGTTTGAAGGCAAACACGAAGAACTCCCAGATTTAGGTTACATGTCATATCAGAAGGCTACACCTAAATTACTTTGGAAATTGACGATACCTGTTGAATTTGAATCCATATCGCTAAATATCACAGTTAAACTGATTACGATGGAGTTACTTAGGCTGTCATCTGGTCTGCAACTTCTGGCGACGAGGTTTTTAATCCCAAAGAGAACATCTCCCCTATCACGTCTTTACAAATTCCACTTTTTCCACTGTGACTATTGCGTTACAGCTCAAACTTTCTATCTATAGTTAAATCCTAACGAATTTTATCTTTACTACCACTAAAAGCCAGGAAGAACCAGACGAAATTTTCATTCTAGTATGGGACGATTCAGCAGTTTATACGCACAACTTCACGAAGAATCGATGACAGGACCTTCAGTCTCGCTCACCGAGGAATCATAAACTAGTGTGAAGCAGCTTTGCTTTAGTACTTCCTGGTTTTTAATGGTAATCTAGTTAAGGTCAGCTTGTGGTTTAACTATGTAAATTCTACAAACTCCATACACTCCAATATACATATTAAATTTCTGAATCATTCAGACTTTTCTCTCTTCTTTACTTCCATTCTCCAGTTCGTCACCTCATTCTTATACATATGTGCATACACATCATGCATAGAGTCGCTTTTTTCAACTCATATAATACCGTTCTCTTTCTTTATTTATCTGTGTTAGGAAAGAGTGAAATTTCCACTTCTCTACGTCCTTCAGTATAATGGAAAGTCATTATAACAAATATATGTGACTATTAAGTAGTATATATTGACTTATTACTATGACAATAATGATAATAATTAGTAGTATATATATATATACATATATTATCTCGAATACCCCATATCTTACCTGAGATATAATTGTGGCCATAGACATAGATACATACACTTATATAGACAATCATTCAACCATTCACTTTCTTTTATAATTACAAATAATTTAGGTATTTAAGTCAAACAGATGGGTCCTTGAATTTGGACAATGATGAATTGAATAAATCGGTGAAAGGTAAAGAAAAAGAACAAACAAATGAATGAATGAAATAGATTGAAAACGCAAGCTTTATAAACAGAGATGAATTGTGGATAGAAGTGGAATCCAGTTTGACGAGCGTTTCGTCCTGTTTGGGACTCGTCAGCTGGATGTACCTGTACCTCAAAGTTGGTATTCACTCTAGGGCTAGAACCCAGTACCTTTCGCTTCAAACGCTATCGCGTTTCCTACTTAGCTACTGAGTCCTGATAGTCACGTGCTTATGCAATCGGGTGAAGTTTAAATTCACATGGTGTTGTTTATTTTTATCTTCCCATTTTTATTTAGGACTGCAATTGATTAGTCTCTTGTTGGTAATATGTGCATCCTGTGCGGACTGCCTCGATGCACATATGGCAACAAGTAACTGATCAATTGCAGTCCTAAATAACAATGGGAAGATACAATTAAACAACAGCATATGAATTTAATGTAGAAATGTTTTTAGCATAAAATTGACACCAGATACCATATGATTTGAAGAGTAACAAAAATTCTACAGGAAATTAGTCTTAGCCCGGATAGCCCAGTGGTAACGTCTGTGACTCCGAAGGTGAGTGACATGGGATCGAATCTATTAGGGAGCATCAGTTCCCTCAAGATTACAGGTATACCTTGCTGACGAATAGCAAGTAACACGAAACCTAGGTCTAAGGTTTCCTGTTGACTACCTCTAACTACCATCTCATTACTTCACTTATCCATTATAAACTGTATTGAAACAAGATTCATTAACAAGAACTGTCCACAAGTAACATGGAATATCGATACATTTCCTGGAAAAGAAATTAGAAATATCGTAGAGTTGTGAATACTCTGATGAATGCAATGAACTTGAGACATTTACAAACAATATTTTCTGTAAATTTTGCGATACAACTTTCACGCAAACTTGGTGGAATAAAAGGGATAATCAGATTTTGTGTGTATAAAATACTTGGTTAAATCACCCACATCCAATTTGGAGTGATCAATAGTTTGTTTCATATCCTAAAAATTCCATCTCGCTGTGGTGATGACGGTATGTCAACTTGAACCTATGTACACACGTATCAGGTTCTACGTTGTATTTGACTGATTGATTGTAAACCTTTTAATCAGTCTCCACATGTTTGAAGAAGTTTTACAAAAAGACAATTCTCCAGGATAAATTTTATTTTGGCGTTCGATTCTGTAACTCATCTGGTGAATCAGCTTCAGAACACTTCCCAAGTCAACGTCTATAAAGTCTATTAAACTTGAGAATAAAGACAGTTGAAATGCATGGAACAATGTTTCACTAAAACAAGGAGAACTAATGGTAATAAGTGAGGAATATTACTGTATTTTCCATTAGATAATCTCATCAGTTCGTTGACTCTACAAGAATGTTCCAGAAAAACTTTCCGAAGAACCATGAACGAAGTTTTTAGAATCCATTTTTTGACCTTATAAAGGATTCAAAATTAAACTGAACTCTTCTTGAATATGTAGTTGAAATCAAGAGTTAATTGAAGCTAGACTACCATGGAAAACCTGGAAGCAGTGAACGGCCGTTTCTTCGTATTCTTGAATAAATGAATTGCCTCCAATTTAATATTCTGTTTTTCAGCCCTGGCCCTCTTCTCTCATACACGCGAACAAATACATACGAAGACAGCAAATGCATCAGCAGCCTCTGCATCAATAGGCCTCAACATAAACAAGAAAAAAAAGCAAGATTCTCAAATACAACACGGAGAACACCAACCCAATCACACTTGATGGCGAAACCCTGGAAGAGGTGGAAACATTCACGTACATGGGAACCATCATTGATAAACAAGGAGGATCGGATGCAGATGTGAAGGCGAGGATTGGCAAAGCAAGGGCAGCATTTCTACAATTGAAGTACATATGGAACTCGAAACAACTGTCAACTAATTTCAAAGTGAGAATCTTCAATACGAACGTCAAGAAAGTCAGTTCTACTGTATGGAGCTAAAACGTGGAGAACTACTACATCAATCGTCAAGAAGGTAAAAGTATTTATAAACAGTTGTTTACACAAAATACTCAATATTCACTGGCCGGAGACTATCAGCAACAGCGTTTCGCGGGAGACGACAAACCAGCTTACAGGTGAAGAGGAAATTAGGAAAAGACATTAGAATTGGATAGGACATACATTAAGGAAATCACCAAACTGTATCACGAGACAAGCGCTAACTTGGAATTCATAAGGGAAGCGGAAAAGAGGAAGGCCAAAGAACACATTACACCAGGAAAAAGAAGCCGATGTAAAAAGGATAAATGTTAACTGGAAAGAACTTAAAAGGATTGCCCAGGACAGGGTTCGATGAAGAATGCTGTTGTGTGGTCTATGCTCCTCCACGACGGATAACAGGTGTAAGTAAGTAAATATTTTGAAGATCCTTAACTGAAACGGTCCAACTTATTATGATTCCATATAATTGCAATAATACAGATGCAGACATACTAGACTGGAAATGTCTAATTTCTAAGGTCATTAGGTCAAATAGGATGAAATGCGTATCAAAACTGGATTTCACTGTTAGTCATCTATCCATCTTTGCTTACATTAGGAATTATTATTTCTTTTTTTAATTATCTCATCATTTGATAAATAAACAAATATGATTCAATATTGTAAAACGCAAACTTAAATTTCCGCCTTATCCCTAATGAAAATAAATAAACAACAAAAGTTATTAAATCCAAATTTAAAAAGAAAAAAAAGCGGAACGTTTTTTTTTGTTCTTTTCTCATTTAGACGCCAGTCATAAATTCACTTTTTTTATTTTTTCATTACTCATAATCATTAATGTTACTGTTGCCTGTTGCTGTTGCTACTGCTGCTGCTGATGATGATGATGATGGTGATGATGATGGTGGTGGTGATGGTGATGGTGATGATGATGGTGGTGGTGATGGTGATGGTGATAATGGTGGTAATGATGATGATGGTGGTGATGATCATATGGAAGAGAACAATATTGTGGTGGTAGTAGTAATAGTAGATTAAAGTTAAACTTAATAGCGATATCTTTTTTTTGGGGGGGGGAGAGAGGGTGGAAAAAGAAAATCATTGAACATTTTCGGAAATCATAAATCTTTCATATCAAAAGTAACAATATTTTATTTATAATAATCATTATAGTTATAATAGTAGTATTAATATAAGTAGTATCATTAGTAGTATCGTCAAATATACAACAATAATGGTGATAATAAAGATGTTAATGATAATAAAGGTTGTAAAACTAAAACCTCAACTAAGTAGAGAAAAGAAAAAAGAAAAACATTAACACTCAATACACATATTTCTTTGATAGATGAATGTTCATGGAGAAAGGCACTCATACACACACACACACACATCCATATATCCAATCGAATAGATGTATATCTACAAATGTATCAGGGGTAACATTAAGTTAAAAGTGAATAATCCAAATGAAACAATCAATGAAATAAACAACAAAACAACAACAACAACACATGTTTATTTACGATGTTATTATAGTTTGTTTATTGTTCATTTATCTGTTTACTTATTTATTTATGTGTGTGTTTATGTGTGTGCATAGGGATATAGGTATAGTAATCTGAAGTGGTTTTCTTGTAGTGATTTCAGTATTTTTCATAGTTGAAAGCGTGAGTCAATTGAAACTAGACCACCAAGGAAAACTTGGAAGCACTGGATGGCTGTTTTGTCCTATTATAGGACTCCTTAGCAGTACGTATCCACGACCTCGCCTAGTTTATGGAATAAACAACTTTTATCATTCATATTAAATGTAGATGATTTGAAATTCTCACTTGTAAATTTAACTTTAGAAGAGAAGATATAAGAACAAGAAAGATTATTTCCTCTTTTAGATATGAAGAAAGAAAATTACTTACTTAATTACTTACACCTGTTACCCTCCAATGGAGCATAGACCGACGACCAGCATTCTCAAACACATTAACTCTGCCATGCGCATTCCTTTCTAGTTCTATCCAGTTGTTGCTCATTCTCCTCATGTCTGTCTCCATTTGTCGACGTAATGTGTTCTTTGGTCTTCCACTTCTTCTTTTGACCTTCAGGATTTCATGTGAGGGCTTGTCTTGTGTCTCAGTTGGGTGATTTCTTCAATTCGTGTCCTATCATATTACAGCGTTTCTTCATGATTTTTACCTCCACTGGATGGAATCTGGTTTGTTGTTCCCCACAGAAGCGCTGGATGTGGATAGGACACACATTGAGGAAATCACCCAACTGATTCACAAGACAAGCCCTCCCATGGAATCCTGAAAGCCAAAAGAAAAGAGGAAGACTAAAGAACACATTACTCCAACAAATGAAGATAGACATGAGAAAAATGAATAAAAGTTAGATAGAACTAGAAAGGAAGGCCCAGGACAGAGTGAGTGGGTTGGAGAATGCTGGTCGGCGGTCTATGCTCCATTGAGAGTACCAGGCTTAAGTAAGTAAAGTAAGTGGTTTACTTGATGTTTAGGACTGACCAATTACAGTCGTAAACATCAATAGTCAGATTCAAGTAAACAACAATATCAAGTCTATTTAATGTGGTTTTTATTTAATTACTTATTACTTATTATCATTGTCAATGAATCATTCATTTTAATGAGGATAGAAATGAACTACCATTTGTTTTATTAAATCAAAATTCATTAATTTTAATTCATTTAATGGTTTGCCACATTTTTATCAAAATACACACACACAATTACAAAGAAACAGATTTCCTCCGTTCGTATTCCATAATCCATTAAATAATAGTAAGCAAAGATGGATAATGGCTAACAGTGGAATCCAGTTTGACACGTGTTCCATCCTATTTGGGAATCGTCAGCTGGATGTATCTGCATCTCAGAGTTGATGTTCACTCTGGAACCTGAACCCAGTACTCCATTCACTTCAAACGTCATCACGTTATCCACTTAGCTACTGAGTCCTACTGATAGCCACTTGCTTGTGCAATGGGGTGAAGTCTAAATTCACTTAGTATTACTTGTTTAAATTTAATAATAGTCATAATAATACTAGTAATAATAGTAATAATAGGAGTAGAAATAATAGTAATAGTAGTAATAATAGTAATAGTAATAGTAGTAATGATAGTAATAGTAGTAATAGTAATAGTATTGGTAGTAATAGTAATAATAGTAATAGTAGTAATAGTAATATTAATAATAGCAATAATGAAAATCTTACTGACTCATTAATGAATGAATGAACATTGAATGGATTGTGTTGTTGATAATGGACTCAAACTTGTATGTATATCCATATGTATATATGTATAAACCAAATATATAAACTGACGAAAATACTCCCTAAGGGCATTTTTAAATAAAGAAAAAAAAAGAAAATAAAAGGGGGAAAGAAAACCCCAGCTCAGAGAACAAACCAACATCAAAATCACCCACCTCAGCTACAAATCTTCTCCATCATCTCAAGAAAACCCCCTCCCCCCACTCAGATTGAGATGAAATGAAAATTTAATGGATCAAAGAACTTTTTTTGTTTTTTTTTTCTTTTCAAGAAGAATAAAGAATAAAATTTTAATGAAATTTGATCATCCATCTTTTTTTTTGTTCTTTCATCAAATTCAATAAAGCATAACTAATAATGATAAAATAGAAGGTGAAATAAAATGGAGGTGGGAGGGGGGAAGGGAGGGAAACATGAAAACAATTTATAGAATAAATTCATTTAGTATTGTTTTGTTTGAATCTTCCCATTGATGTTTTTAGGACTGTAACTGGTCAGTCTCTAATTGGTATATGTGCATACAGTGCATATTGCCTCAGGAATCAGTAGCTGAGTTGATAACGTGATGGCGTTTGAAGCAAATGGGGTACTGGGTTCGAGTCGTATGAGTGAATATCAACTCTCAGATTAAGGTACATTCAGCTGATGAGTCCCAAATAGGACGAAACGCGTGTCCTGGATTCCACTGCTAGCTACTATCCATCTTTGCTTATAATGCTTGTCAATTAAGGCTATGTCGAGGCAATACTCACAGTATGCACACATGCTAATAAGAAACTGATCAATTGTTGTCCTAAATATCAATGGGAAGATTCAAACAAACAATACCAAGCGAATTTAAACGTCACCCCATTGCACAAGCAAGTGACTATCAGGACTCAGTGACCGAGTGGAGAACGCTTTGGCGTTTGGGTTTGAGTCTCAGAGTGAACATCAACTCTGAGATGCAGGTACATCCAGCTGACGAGTCCCAAATAGGACGAAACGCGTGTCCTGGATTCCACTGCTAGCTACTATCCATCTTTGCTTGCAATTTATAGAATGGATAAATAATGGCTATTTTGGGAAAACTTAAGATGAATGTTTCATACTGATTGGGATATGCCTACATTTCAATGTTGATGTTCATATGGAATAAGAGTCTATTAGTTTTCTCCATAAATGCGCAGGAACTCGTCGAGGTAGTGAATCTAAACAGTTACTAATTCGTTCATTGAGTATAATATGTGTATCATTATAAGTAATGGTTTGAATTATCTTAAATTTCGATCAATCTTGGATATGTTTTCTACTAGAACGGTTGCTACTTACTTCCTATTCGCTTCCTATATTCCTAAACTACTCCTAGTCTTGAACCTGAGCAGTATAGAAAAAAAGGTGAAAATTAAGAACAAAAGCTTTGCTTTAAGGTTAGTTTACGCACAGAAGACAACCTTGTGTTATTGGTTTCAAGTGACCTTGAACTTTTAGAAGCTTCTAAAGATTTATTAGATTCAGTAACAAAATAAGTAGGTCCGGGATTCGAATCTCGCGTAGTAGGATCGTGGATGCGCACTGTTAAGGAGTCCCGCAATAGGACGAAACAACCGTCCAGTGCTTTTGGGTTTCCCATGGTAGTCTAGCTTCAATTGACTCATGATTTCAAGTATATATAAAAAATAAGTAATTATCTGATCAGAATATGATGTTTAATCCTTCCTTTTTCTGAACGTTTCTGAGATATTTCTATTTGATACTGTTTCCTTAAAACGTCTTCAGATATTGAGAGCCCATACTTTTTTGTTCCTAACACATATATATCCTATACAGGTCGTCCTGGATTCTACTGATGCCTATTCTTCATTCATTTTGTTGAAAATAACTCATATCTAGTAACACATCGGTAGACATCACTTACGCACATACTAAAAACATGTGGCCGAAATTTGAGTAGATAACGTCTGTACTAACCTTTTGAACTACATCACACTTGAATTGAAATCAGTTCAAATAAACTAAAGTGTGGATGAGGAAATCTATGGCCAAGGTAAGTAGTTCTAATAAAATTCGATTCTGTGACGTGGATGGTTTATTTACAAAGCCAGAGCACTTAATCAATAGACCACTGAGCCGGCATCCGACGGTGTTAATGTCTAACTCGAACCAATCCACGAAGTTTGAGCAGTCGTTCACCAATCGTCTTCAGTGAGTTGATATCTCACAACAGACTTGGTTGAACTCCACTGGTTACTGCTTCTCATTAGAACTCCAGGAAATATCTCTTTTAGTCAGTCACTAGTGAGCATATGATCATAGTCCTGGGTTCGAATCTCGCGAGGCGGGATCGTGGATGCACACTGCTGAGGAGTATCTACAAAGCATTCATTTTCTATGTAAGAACTATCATGAATTATTAAAGTTTGAAGTCTTATGCTACTGACAATATTGTCCAAAACAGTCAACGAATACTTCATGATTACATCATCTATTTCAGAGGGTATAGCATTCAACAAACTAGTTATCAAAATTACAGCACTAACAGGCAATGGAAATGATTAAATAAAGACAGTTAGTAGTTTGACATGATCTACAAAAATAGAAAAAAAACTGGAATATATTTAATTGTAAATGTTCTAATCAGAAGGGGTTTTGTGGAGATTTAGTATTTTCATAGTTAAAAGCGTTGGTCAATTGAAGCCAGACCATCATGGAAAACCTATCGGTTAAGTGCTCTGGCGCGAGACTGGTAGGTCCTAGGTTCT